AACGGGCAAACGTCTGAATCGTCCTCGCACCGCTGTAAGTGCTGAAACAGGTCATCTTTCTATACCCTCGGACGGCCTTGACCTGCACTTCCACTTCCGACAAAGGAAAAAGTGAAATTTTCCGAAAATGAACTTTTAAAGGACATATGAAAGGATCATTGTCGATATGTTCTTTTCATTTTGAAGTATCAAACGAAAAAAACAACAACTTTTTTTTACTGTTGTCCAGTCAGATAATAAAGGAGGAACAATTTGTCTTATATAACCGACCACGAGAGCTTTCCTAAATCCCAATCTACCGTAACGTCTAAAGTAAACCAAAAATAGAACCGACGCTCGGCAAATAACGTGATCTGCTAATTTTGTCCCATAGGGCTTTGACGAACTTTTTTCCCTCGCGATGCGATTTAAGAGGATTTTTGTTTTTCTTCTCCGAAATTGACGACAAAATGTACCGAATCGTCGATCACGATTGATACTTCAAGTTGATATATTACACATACAAATTTCGCAACGAACTCCAGATCAATGCTCAAAAAAATTAATTCTTCACAAAACCTAGGAGAATGAATTTCATATGTAAATAGAGAGCCTTGACGATCAGAATATTTAGATAATTATTGGGGCCTAGTTCTGCGTGAGTGAAATCGTTCTGTCTTAGGAATGCGCATTACCGAATTCTTCAAACGTAAAAATTTGATGCCCGACCTTCTCCCATTCCGCAATTATGAGATGAATTTCCCGAGGAAGCAATTTTATCAGAAACTTGACCATCGAAAATAAAGTAAATAATTTATTTTTCTACCAGCTTTAGGCCAAGTAATCGGCGTATTCGTTACAGAAATAATAGCAAAGTAAAACAAAAGATTATTAACTTATTGTGGTTAAGTTGGTCTGCGTTTAAATTCGTAAAATCAATCACAAGACCTTCAGTGAGAAATTTACATGTTATACGAAGCAAAACTTATGCAGACTATTTTAATAAATAAGAAATTTATAATGAAAATAAATATGCTAAACCATAGTCGACCAGTTATAAACCACGTTATTTCAAATATATAGAATCTCCAGATATGATATAAAATGAAGATTTCCTCGTTCCTTTTTCATGGCGTTTGTGTTGTCCCGGAGAAAAATAAATATACAAATAAAACATTATTTCAGCACATATCTTAGATTTCCATTAGATCCTAATTCACATCCCAAAAATTAATTCTCTTTAAAAGGATTTGGCGTTAGAAAGGCCTCGAACTAATTTTTACTGATTTATAAGTGGTTGTTTGGCATTGAGCAACAGGCGGTTGAGCATTTCTCTCTCTCTAGCACAACAGAGCTTCCATAATGTTCCGCAATTATGCAAATTTACCAGGAAAAATCTAAAAAACAAGCGACGTTTTTTAGCTGTTTTTTTTTTTTTTGAAAATTAAAGACAAATATGACAACACATAATTTAAGAATCAGAATAAACATGTTTTCTGTTTTTCTTTCCACTAGAATAATACTAATTCTGTAGCTTTTATGCTTTCCTCGGAAAATTCTGAAATGTTCAGTGAGACATCAATTAATATACATTGATGTTTCAAGCAATAAACCTTCATAGATTTTTTATAGTCATTAAATTGAATAACCTCTTCTGAACAATCAGTACGATCTATAAATTGATTGCATCTGAAAGTAGTTGATTGCATTTACACAAAAATAAATAATCCATGGGTTAGTTATGGATAAAGACGGTTGAATATCATGAAACATCCCTTTTGCTTCGTTTTGAAAAATGACTATTTCGTTGCCGGCAGTCGAACGTGATTATTTTTCATCTGGCAATTTTTTTTTTTTACTTTTTTTCCCCCACAACTTACTAAAGATGAATGCGTGATTCAAGCACTCATTGATAAAAACAAGTTTTCATAGCTTTTAATTAGAGTAAAACTTTAGTTACGATTTTTTTTACATGGAATTAAAGACTTAATATAGTTTTTGGGTGCCCTTTGCCTTATGGGCCGGTTGCACCAAGTTGGCTTAAACTCAGTTTAGTGCTGAACCGGGTTCAATTTACAAATTGCCGTTTTTCATTCTATCTTGAACCGAGTGCAAATGATGAACCTGGTTCAACATTGATCAGCCGTCGAGCGTGGGTTAAACCTAGTTCAGAGTGCGTCATTCATTTCTTTACAAAACCTGTGTTTTTAAAGATTGAACTTTTGATCAAAAAAAGTTGAAAGCGATTTTTAATCGGTTTTTGTTCCCACGTTTCAATAAAAATTTATCTCAACTTTTGATATGCATTTTTTACAAGGGTCCACAACAGAAGAGGTCATACCAACCCTCGGGGTGTTGGTGTTTTTGTATGTATGTTGTAAGTACGTCTGGTACGAATGCAGAACCCCGGACACTTTAGTGATGAGCGCCGTGTCAACGCCTTACCGACGACCCGACTACATCATAGTTCTAAATGGTTTTGTATCTATATGAGCAACAAGCCCGACAATTTTTATTTGCTTTACGATATAACTCAATGCTTTCTCTCTCGCATATTTATTAACACTCATCATTAGGCCGCGAGGTTTAGTAAAACGATCATTCCTTTGAACTTGGTTCAAATTATGAACGAGGTTCCAGTGAACCCTGTTTAAACTTTGATTGGCGTAACGTTTAACAGCCCTATAAAGTATAATTTTAGGCTTTTTCTTAATTTACCAAATTGCTTTTAACGTTTCGCGAGTAACAAAAATACAACTGAAATTGATGTTTTCTACGCTTTTGGTGGTGCGTTTTCATTGGTTTTTAATAAAAATGGTATTAATTTACTTGAAATTAGGGAAAAAAGGTTATATACATTTTAACTGGTGTATTCACAAAAAACCTTGGTTGTCAATATTTTAAGTGATTTGATAGTTGACACATTACAGATAAAGAAAACGTCCTACACCAAAAAAGTATGAATTTATGATAGTTAATTTTAAAATTTAACATATAAAACTTTATTTTTCACGATTTTACCTAGATTACCTTAAAATGGTTCGCGAGAAAGGAAATTTACAAGAAACCTGAGGTCCTTTTAGTTTTTCTTTATAACACTTTGTCGTACGTTTTCACGGAATTACAATAAAAATAATATTTTCATTTGTATATTATTAGAATAGAGCTTTTTTGTTGTCACCTTTATAATACATTCGGATGTTATTATACATCGGAAAAAGATGGAATGTACTTGTTATTTTTTTTTTTGCTTACTAAGACTCTTTAAAATACAAACTTAAGTTAGCTTAATATTGACGATTGTTACCATAAAAAATTCATTTGCACTAAGAATTTCTTTTAAAATGATTCGCGAAACAGGAAACTGATGTACATTTTAAAAGCGTTTGACATACGTCAGTTTTATTTTATTGTGAAGAAGTAAATCAAATAGTTAATAAAACAGAATTTAATTAGTGTAAAACATACAAATAAAGCTTTGTATGTAAGATTTTTAAATGATTAGTATTTAATATTGATAACACAAAGCGAGTTTAAGCTCTTCATTTTATTAACTTTAGATGCAATAATTAAAATTAATTTTGGTGTGGTACTGATATGCGCTCGTCATTTCAGAACCGTCAGACCAAAAACAACGAGGATTGGCAGACTAAAATGACAGGAAAAGCCCAAACTATATGTTTGAACATTCGGAGATCTCATGAAGGAATCTTATAATGTAGTTGATCATCAATAGGACGGACCAGTTGGTGGTTGTTAGTCACTAATCAATCATCTTGGCATGACTATCCTCGCTCAGTTTTATCGGTTCAGAAGCATTTTGACATTTCGCCATCTTTAGTGTTTGGGTGATCTCACATTGAATCACATCGAATCACCCAAACAATGAAGATGGCGAAATGCCGAAACGCGTCTGAAACAAAAAATCTACGACTATAGGTAGACCTAGATGACAGGAAAAACCCAAACTATATGTTTGAACAACTAAAGATCTCAAGAAGGAATCTTATAATGCACTTGATCATGAATAGGACAGACCCGGAAAAAGGAGACTATGAAGCAACAAGTACGATGGTTGATAGTCTTCTAATCATCTTGTCATGACTATCCTCCAGTTTTGCTTATTCAAACGCATATTGACATTTCGCCATCTTTAGTGTTTGGGTGATTTCTCTTACCTCGAATCATCTAAACTCTGAAGATGGTGAAATGCCGAAACACGACTAAACCAACAAAAAATCAGCGAGGATAGGCAAACCAAGATGATGACAATGCGAACAATGTGAAATGACCAAGATCGGAGTCTATGAAGCAACAAGAATAATATTCATATTACTGCCAGGTATAAAACAAATATCTTTTAAAAATAGCATCTAATAATGAAAAAACGAAATAATATCGGAGTCGCATAGTAATGACTGTAAATAAAAATGTTAAAGATAAAACGTTGTGCCTCATGACATGTAACGATCGTCAATCATTGATTTATCTTGGACTTTAATACATGCAAATTTATGTTTTAAAAATGACACTTAATCTTCAAATACATTTGAAAAACAGATTTTTTTTTTGTTTTGTTCGTTGAGGACACATTAACCACGACATACCTCGAGAAGATTGTGATTTAAATCATTTCCTTCTAAATGCTTCATGACATAACAGAATACAGAATAAGACGGGATAGATCAAATTTACGTTCAAAAATGGACAAGTTTTTTATTTAATATCAGAGGAAATACTTTTAAGCCGGTATGTTTTTAACTTTTTTCGCCCGAAGGAGGGATACTGCAAAAATCTTCTACAGAAGAATTTTGCCAAATTTTGGAATATTGTTTAGTCTGCATTTGCCATTGAATTAGCCCTGAATATGTTTTCTGAGGTGAATAGATGTGAAGCAATGAAATCCGAACCGGCAGTTATTCGCCGGTAGGGCGGAGGGCATCCCCTTATGGAGAGGTCTAGGTCATCTAGGTCACCGGAAGGGGTCCGTTATCAAGTGTGGTCCGGCAAGTCTCGCTCACCTTTTTCTTGTTGTCGCCGCGTCGTATCTGGGCGACGATCCACGGCACCATCGGGTTGGAGAGCCGTTTGTCGACAGTCGCATGTCCGAGGTAGTCGAGGAAAAACATCTTTGCGGTTTCGTCGGACAGAGGAGATAAAAAAAAAGCACGGTCCTAAGAGAGTGCAGAGCCTTTTTTCAACATGCTTAAATCCCGTATCCCTCGTCAACGTGTTCTTCGTCTGTGTGGTTAACGACCGTTCCGTACGAACAGGAAAATACGAATGAGATTAACGGCCGAAATAAAACCACGGGTTGGACGAAGGAATCGAAGAGGGGGAAGAGATGGTGGCAGCACATGGTCTCACCCACTTTCCGAGCGTAAAGTCTCCGTTTTTCAAAAAAGTCCACAACCAAAAACCTTGTTAATCAATATCTTCTCTGAAGTTACTTTTAGTATTAAACAAAAAAATACCAGCAACAAGTGTTTTATCTTAAGAATAATTAAATTACAGCTTGATAGACTCTGATCAGCACAGTCTTCTTTTGTCCGATTTCATCATTTTCTTCAGAAAAGTTCTTAATGAAGATAGTGAAATGCAAAATTGCTTAGACATTTCTAGCGAGACTAAGCAGAAAATTGGATAAACTGCTCAAAAATGAATATTGGTTATTTATTCTTATTCTATTAGTTTTAATTAAATTAAGTGATATATTCTTGTAGGTTGGATAATAAAAAAATTAATTAATTTTAAAAAAATAAATAAAGTTTGCAATGAGTCGAGGTCACAGCAAGTGGACATTACAGAGGCAGTTGGCATTTCTCAGTGCGTAGTCTCCCAGTCTTTAGCCCGATTCTGAAAGACTGGAAGTGCCAATAGGAAGTCTGGTAGTGGATCTCAATGCTTATGATGCTAAGGAGGTCAGAAATATTGTCATTGCTGCAAGACAGAACCCTTTGCAGTGCCTGACAGGTCCTAAATGAAGTACAAGGCCTTTATCAACACAAATGATTTGTAATCGTTGAAGTTGGTCTCACATTGTATGACCCTTTGAGACGACCTGCAGCAACAGCCCACTACCAGCAACTCGGGAGATTATGGAGCAGCGAGCACCTAGAAGAAAACACTAATTAGAATGCTGTTATGTTTACTGATGTCGCATTTCTGTTTGTTTAGTGATAGCAGGCGCCTATGAGTCTACCTAGAACAGGGGATGCAAACTGTGCCCCAGTTTGGGCTCCCTTCAGTGCAGTTTGGACAAGGCGGTGTACTAATCTGGGCTTGGATTTACATTGGAGGGCGAACTGTACTCCATATTGTTTAAGGTGACCTACCGCAGTGTTATGACCAAGAAATTATCAAGGAATACATCCCTCCAACAAGGGATCTCATTGGCAGGGATTTTCGATTTCTGGATGACAATGCCAGACCTCATAGAGGCAGTTGTTCATCAATGTTTGGAAAATCTGGGAATTTCCCATTTGCCCATCTTCTTCCATTGACTCCAGACCTCAATCCCATTGAGCACATGTGGAATTCATTGCAGAGAAGGCTTTTCGATCACCATCCGCAGTCAGTTGACCTGCAACAACTGAGTAACATCTGTAGAGCGAAATTCATTAAGAGATTAGTGACAACCTTATTAGCAGTATGCCTAACCGGTACCCAGAGGTTTTAGCTAGCAGAGGACATTATGCACATTAGTAAGTTAAAACCTTTTATTTTGTTATTTTTCAAAATCCCTTAATTAAATTACCCTTCAGTAAAAATATAATAATTTCTAATAAATTTTAATGCAATTTATAATAAGAATAAAATAAAAATGATAGGGAATGTAAATACTATAAAATTGGCTAAATCCCTATTCATTTTTGACCAGTTTATTTTCAAACATGCTTCCATACACCCTCTAATAGTCAATTGCTGTAAGGTCTAGCAATTTCTGGAAAAATATAGAAATATAAAGATATCTGCATATTCTAAAACAATTCTTTATTACAAATAAAATAATATGTACAGCTGTGCGTACACAGCAGGGATTTATAATACATTAAACAAAATTATATTTTCTTTTCCTTTTTATGTTTATTAATTTTCTTCTTAAGTGCTTCGATGTCAACATCTTCTGACTTGGATGTAGACGGGGCTGTCGTCGATTCGACCGGAGGTATGAAAGGCTGTTTCCTCCTCTCTTGTCTCTGCAGTTCAGCCTCCTCTTGCTTCTTGAGGACTTCCTGCCTGCGCTTTCTGACCCTTTGTTCCTCTTTGAGGAAATATTCGCCTGAAGCGAGCAGCTTGTCCACGTCCCGTTCCTGCTGAGGAGGCGGGAATGGCGTGTATTCCTTCTTCTTGAGCTTCTTCTTGGGCTTCTTCTTGTTGACCTTTTTGTTCGTGTACTTGGGAAGGAACCGGGCCCAATTCTCATTCCTGAGCTTTGGATCTTTCAGAAGTTCCCTTTTAATCATAAGCGCCTTTATGTTGTAAATTGGATGGATGTTTTTCATCGTATCTTCTACCAATCGTCGTACCTAGAAAGTAAAATACTGGTAAAGTATATCATACAAATAAAATTATAATTATTATTGCAGGCCATGTTATTATAAACATTAAATTGATTATGACAATGTTGACTTAGTCTAATTATTTTTTTTTTTTATATATTAAGTTTAAAATGTTTTAAAAACACCTACATATAGGCTGCTTAACTTTGAAAGCCCACTTAATTGTCAGAACCTTTTGTTTATTTATTGAAATCAAAATCTGATGAAAAATAGTACAAGTTGAACTTAGTACAAGGAATTTATTTCGCATTTGACTATATTTTGTTGTCAATTTTTTTCAAATATGTTAATTAAAATAAAAAATATAAAAACATCACACTTTTCATATAATCAATTAATTATACACAATTTTTCATTTCTAAAAATTATATATAATTGAGTATATGTATAATTTTTTATTTGCCTTATGATCTTTTGCATATTAGCCATGACGAATCTCTTATATATGTTGTTCAAATTGGGGGTTATCGGGAAAAAAGGGCCAGAGGCGACGGTAAGAATCGAACCCACAACCGCGGCGTCTCATGCTAACCACTCAGCTACCGCGGTCCCCCGAGTATATGTATAATAAAAAATTATAAAATTTAGAATAAATTTTCATTAATACAGGGTGACTGGCGATAACTGTTGAAAATTTCAGGTGTTACTACTCACCATATCTTATAAACCCTGTCCAATCTCAACAGTAAAGAAGTAATTTCTGGTTTTGGGTTTTTTAAATTTTTTGACTTAGGCCCACTAAATTGCTTATAAATTTCAGAATGTAGAAATCTGGTTTGTGCCACCTTAAAAAATGTTAAATTTGCTGTAATAAAACTTATTTACATTGCAAAATTGAAGAATAAATTCTGCATGAAAAATTCAGAAAAACAAAAATGTTGAAATTCGGCATTTTTTGAAAATGTTTGATTAGGTAACTATTAATAACTACAAACTCCTTGAGCTCTGCAAATTCCCTCAAAAGTTCCCCATTCAATTAGCTTCCAGTTGTATACCTACTTTTTTTCCATTTCACCTGGTTCAGTGGTTCTGCTTGGGTGCTAAAATGAGAAAGTTCTGACATACAAACATACAAAACTGTAAAGTCTAAGCAGACCAGGATGACAGGATCAAACTAGAGATTCTGCTTTGTCAAGACTGTAGGAAGAAGTGAATTTAATACAGTGATCGACAAATTTAAAGCACTACTCAATTTATTTAGTTTAAAATTAAATCAAATTTTCTTTCTATATTATTTACAGGTAATTAGGAACTATCATAGCCAAAATAAACATAAATAATGCATTGTTTACTTTTGGACTGATTAATCCCATTTGCACAAAACGTAACATTATGCCCTTTCATTCTGATATGCATAAAGATCGTTTTCAGTTAAATCTTTTTCTTTTAGTGAACTCATTTGATATTATTCTTATTTCTTAAACCTGTGCTTGCTCCGGTCTACATTTAGAAACAAACCTGAAGTTGCTGTTTACGATGAAAGCTACACAGCATTTCTACTATTCCTGTCAAAATAAACTTAGTTTTAATGTAATACATTATACTTACTTGAATAATTCCTTTGTATGGCCCTATGACTGCGACTGTCTGCCCTTGGACCTGCAGGTAGCAGTTGGTGAGCAGTTCGGTGGACTTAAGCGTGCACCCTGCTGGTCCGATCAGCCTCTGCCTCCGCTTCAGGAATTTTTCTTTGTTGTGCAGCATCGAACCTATTTTGATGATGTCGCAGCCGATCTCGTCCTGGAGGACCTTCTGGGCGTGTTCGAGAGGGACGCTTCTAGACAGTAGCTTGATCATGTCCCTCGCTTTGACGATGATGTAAGGGTCCCAAGTTTTCCTCGTTGTCTTCACAGTCATCGTACCTTCGCGCAGGTCGAGCTGGGCTTTGATGAAGTGGCCGTCTAGAATCTTGACAACCAGAGGCCAGCATTCTTTGATGTACTGTTCCCTGTACTGCGGGAAGAGGGTGGAAAACGAACTCTCTTCTAAAAGTGACTGAGGCATGTCTTCGGGTTTAAACTCGGGGATTTTCAACGACCACGCGTCGTCCACAACCTCTGTCATCTTTTCCTCACTCATCTTTAAGAGAGAGAAGCGAAAGTTCACAAAATAGAAGACGAATACATGAGGATAACCTGACACTGATTCAGAACCTCATCTCAACACAACGTGCTCAACTATAAACTGTACAACAGTGTTGCCATTACGTTTATGGCAAATTCATAGAGGACAATTTATTTTTTTAGTTTAGTTTTATTCTTAATTAAATTTTTTTATAGCCTACAATTTCATTTTCATTAATTAAAAAATGCAAACTTTTGTATTGATCAGATTTGACAGACGAATCAAATCTATGGTGGGTTTGGAGTCACAGGAGACGATAACACACCTCAGATCAAACAAGCTGGATTAGGCGGATCAGAACCAATCGGAAATTACTAAATTTTAAGCCCGTACCTTCTAGACCTCGGCAAGAAATAAAATTTTAAAAAATACGTTTAGCAATAATTCAGTGCTGAAAGAAAAAAGCTGCAACTTAGGTAATGTATCTAATCTAACAACCATACCATTCATAGCAAACAAATAATGAAAAATACTTTAAAAATAAAAGGTTCGTCGCCTTTGTTCTACCAGTGGTTTATTGGAAATTATGTAAGTTTTTGGAGATTTCTCATTTTTAGACTTTCAAAGACTTGATCAATTTTTTTTTGTTCATTCCCTAACATTTCTTTTATAGTCCACGGGATTTTGGGGTCATGAGCCCACCTCAGACAAAAGGGAGGGGCGCAAGTATGTGTAATACATCTAATTGATCACCACAAAGGCATGTTGGTGGTATAGAATTTACCATGAGGTGCCTGTGGGTCATATTTGTGTGTCCTATACTTAATCGAGATAGTACGACCTCATCATGCCTGGAAGTTTGGAAGGGTGTTTCACAATGTTTAACAGTCTCTTTTATGTGGTATTTAGTGACCATTAATTAATGATTATTTGGAGATCGTGAGACATTTTCTTTATCGTGCCAATGTTTCAATCTTTATTGAGATCATCTTCAGGGCCTGTGATTTATAAACATTGTTAAATTATACACAATTATAAACAATGTTTATAAATCCCAATCCCTGAAGATGATCTCAGTAAAGATTGAACGTTGGCATGATAAAGAAAATGTTTTTCTAAATCTATGTCACACCAGACAACATCTCACAATCTCCAAATTGTCTCTTTTACATTCCGTAATTTGTTGGAAGTGGTTTGTTTCCACTGATTTTCTCAATATTCAATTTAAGCTTGAAATCAGACTATATATTCAGGATCAAGATTTATTAAAACTGAGATGATCGGGTTGTTCTGTGCAGCTTTTGCTGCATTTCCAGTTAGCTCATTTCCCTCAATCCTGACATGACTTGGTTTGCAAATGAAGGAAACACAAGACCCTTTCAGTTTTTTTTTTTTGCCAAATGTTTTGAAATAATGAATTTTTGGAGTACATTCAGTAATAAAAAAAATAAATAGATAGTTGATAATCTTGCAATGAGTGACACAAAACACAAGAGGGAAATGTTAGACCCCTTGGGTATGCATGGACATTTTTTCACACCAGATTATGGGGAATTGGCAGAAAGATTGAGAAGAGATCTGACCAGTTTTCTTTCAGTCAGTGAAACCACAAATCTCCAAAATTTCTTAGTTCCGCTGCAGACATGACAAAAAAAGTGGGTTAAAATCATGCTCAACCCGTCAAGCCCTCAAGGACTTGGAACATACGATAATGCACTGCAATAAATACTGTTCTCATAGAACAATAATTTTTAATTTTTATGCAAAGACAGTTGAGAAGAGTTTTTAATGGCCTGCTTAGAAGACTTTGGCTACGAAGAATAAGTTTTAAAAAATAACTGAAATATATGAACAACATGGAGAAGTAAACTTAAATTGAGGAGACTAATTAGGGGGTAGGAAGAAATTAATTAAAAAAGAAGAAACTTACATACAGAATTAAAAGCAAAAATTAACAAATACTAGTGAAATATTAGTTGTAGGAAGTACCAGCTAATCCCTTCTTGGGTCAGGGTTACCTTTCTTCCTTTTCTGATATACAAATCAATGTATGAAATTCGCTAGATATACCTGCAGTGAGGTTCACTTCATGAACCCAAGTTTTTCTGTTCACTGCTGAAAGCAAGATCGCTGCCATTAATTCCGTGTTCCTCACATTCTCATAAAATGTGCATTTATTTAACAGTTATGAAATTTAAGCTCAATGAAAAGGGATTGAATTTCCAATTACATATAAATACATCTTATCTACTCCTTTTGTTAGTTTAGTTTTTAAAATAATTCTGAAATAAACTCACTGAAGAGAAAAATACTGAACGTAAAAAAATGAAGGCAGAAAAAACAACAACGTAAATTTCAAATACAACAAAAAAATTTTATATAAAAAGATCGTAACAAAAACTATCTTAAAATGTCATGTTATGCATAGATTTATTTATATTATTTTACAAATGATATAAAAGTATACACAAAGAAATAAAGACCTATATAATAAATATATCGAATAATGGTAAATTATGCAATTATGCTACACAACTCTATATACACATTACTGAAAAATGTCATTTATTTAAATTACTTAAGTACTAATGCCATTGGAATGTTATTATTTATTTTCTTTAAATACATTAAATAATATTTTACTTGTTGAAAATTTGAACAATCCTTAATCCTCCTTATTTACATAACTTTGTTATTTACACCAGTAATTTGTAAACAAAAGTTTGTAACATAATTGGAAAATCATAGTTTAATACAATTACATAATGTACAAATATACAATTTTAACTAAAAGGTGTGTACAAAAATTTATTACAAACATAAATAACAGATGGAAAATAATTGTGGAAGACTTGGGGCATAACAGTAACAAATACATACATTCAAAGGTATAAAAAATGTGATGTCAGTTAATGAATAGCATAGGCTTTGTTCAACTGCCAAAATGAAAATGTCATGGTTTTTGATAGAACCTATTCTGATAAACGAGTTAGAAAATGAGCAATTTTTAGTCCGACTAGCTAGGCTCGTGTTGCGGCAAAAGCCCACTGTTGCGAAAGGGAATTGCTGTCGCATTGCTCAGCAGTGAGGCCCTTCTCCTGCACTGACCTCGAATCCAGGCACAGCGATAGAGTCGCATGCTTGAGTAAACTTCCCCTTTTGTCATCCCGGACTTTCACCCAATGCTGTGGAAACAGATTGTTCGATTGATTGAAGAAGAGAGAAAAATAGAGACAATGTAAAAACCTGTTGAATAGAGTTATCGCAAGGCCTCATTACAACAACCTCGCCTGGCGTGTCTGAAGTTAGCGTGATGCACAGGTCATGGTGCTTGAGGACACCAGAGTCCGTTAAGCCCCATTCCTGGTTTCCGCCAGTATGGTGACATGGGTACAGGCCGACGGTACCACCCATGAGGTGGCCCAGGGTGTCCAGACAATAAATACCCTGCTGCACAGAAACCAGCGTTGTCGGGATGGACAGTTCTGGGTAGACGTTGTGCAAGTACCAGCTGAACGGCTTGCATTTCAGCTCTGCTTTCAACCTCAGCCTGTCATCAATACTAAAAACACAAAATTCCAGTAAAAAATGACAATCCAGATAATCCAAGCACATACTTTCCAAATGGAATATTTTTTGCCAACGGCACAGCTGCATAATAATACTGTTTGTAAGAGTCCATCCAGACCTCGGCGGCTCTTCTTGTATTCTTGGCGAACACGTTGCCGCTCCCTCCAGGGAAACTGTACGGATGCCTTTTTCTAAATACGTGTCCCACCCTCGAACAGGGGATTATTTCAAGGCTGCCTCCGCACTGCCAGACTCGGAAGGAAATTTCTAAAAATGAAAATCAAAGAGTTCAAGAACTGACTCACAGCATCACATATTAAATGAGAATACCTAAATTTTCACCACCCCAGACATCCATCATCATATCGTATTTCCCTAAGTGGTTGAAGTAATCTTTATCGATTGAAAACAAACCACCAGCTATCATTGGTGTTCTGAAAAATAATAAATGACTTATTATGCATAGCGGTGTGATAAAGTTCAATGGGAGATTTCCTTTAGAAGTCTACAAAGGTCTGCTGAGTTTAGATGAATTTGTCTAACCGACACATTTTATCAGTTGTTCTATACATGAAAACTGCAAAAACATACTGACATATTAAAGCTTCGAGACAAAAAGATCAGAAATGACCTAACTACAGATAAAGTTGATGGTATTGTAAGCTAGAACCAGTTTTAGCATTAGCTAGGAATAGTTGCTAAAATAAGTTAAAAATGGTTGTAAGAAATGACAAATATATATAGCAAGTAAGGCTGTAGATCTGAAAGGTAGCCCATCTGGTAGAGAATTAAGACGTTTCCCACAACCTAAAAGTCATATGAATGCGACAGATGAATAGCTTCACTAAATAACGAAAGTCGAGGAGTTATTTAGTAGGGAAGGTTGTTGCAGATACAGTACTTCCAGATGTGGGATACTACAAATTTGGGGCTACGTCAGACACAGAGAATACAACAGAGAATGAAACTAAAGGAGTATATTATTTAGAAGTCCATTGTATTGATATTATTTCTATTACTATTACTGTGATTCATATACTTTTTCTACCACAATTGTTTTTCTTAATTTCCATACTATTTTTTAAAAAAATAAAGCAATGTTTCTGAGGTTCTGCTTACCGCCTTGAATCAATGACAGATGGTAATTCTTAAGTTCTTATATTTGAAGATTCGATTCATACTTTTCGTTTTAACTTGGTATTCAAATTATTTTGTTCACTGTGGTACTTATTATTATTATTATTTGTATGTACCTATTCTACTTTACGTAATAACCCAACTCCATCGTACGGAATATTGCACTCTAAAAAATTTAAAAAAACACTATACTATATGACTGTTTAAACGTGGTTAAAGGTTGGTTTTATTGTTTATTGTTCAATTTGGGCGAGATTTGCAAAGGTAAAAGTGTTTTGAATTCAGAAAATGAAAGGGCTTTCCAAAAAAGGATTCATTTGAAAGTTTACATGGCGTAACGCCAATTGGCGCGCCTTCAAATTCAATGAAATGTTTAGAAATTAGCAAAAAAGTTAAGGAAAATGTGTTCTGGCAAATTCCGATCCAGACAGTCGATTAACAAATTAAGTTGCCCTGGAAAAATTATTCAATGTTGTAAGAAATAATTTTTTTTTTTTTAAATTTTGTATATTGTTGTTTAAAGGGTAAATGTGTTGTTCTTTTTAACGATCTGATCAAACTGGGATAAAAGGGGAAAAATACTATTTATTATTTATTTATTTCGTTTCAAACCATCTAAAATAACATATTAATATCTATTTAACAAGTCCTAAAGCTGTCATATTCGAAAAAATCTAAATATTATATTTTCTTTGCACATACATAAGTTTTCCCAAGAATATTTTAAGTTTGCTAAATGTAAAATATTCGGGAGAGCGTACCTGACCCGTCCCAAGGGCTGGGAAGTGGCAAGGGGTCGGCCTTTTTCCGTAAAGGAATCCCTTGAACAAGAAGTAAAAATCTAACCACAGATCGAAGAGAACCCCTGTAAAATTCCTCCAATTTCATGTAAACAAAGTGGTCATGTTACCCTATTTTCCTTCTAGGTGAATCATTAATGACATTTTTTCAACAGTATGTACTGTAATTTCGTGAGGAGCGGTCAAGAATGAGGTAGCTAAGAAAAACACTTTTTTCATTTTTTGCTGACGTTTCGACCTTTATTCGGGTCATCTTCAGGGCCTGCGTAAATTACAAAACATACGTTGATGGGAAAAAATACAATTTAAGATGTAAATATAAATTTTGAACCAAGTATTTCATACTCACATAAAGTGTGGTGCTATTCTTGTGGTGTCATATTGTTATTGTGTGAAAGGGTTGTGAAATGTGAATTTGTATTCTACTTCACAACCCTTTAACACCACAAGAATAGCACCAGACTTTATGTGAGTATGAAGTACTTGGTTCAACATTTATATTTACATCCTAATTGTATTTTTTCCAATCAACATATATTTTGTAATTTACTCAGGCCCTGAAGATGACCCGAATAAAGATCGAAACGTCGGCAAAAAATGAAAAAAAGGTGTTTTTCTAAACTACCTATTCTTGACCGCTCCTCACGACTTCAACAAATTACAAAACAAGTCACTAAGAAACACACAGTATGTATTGTATTTCACGGACAATATTATGACTTTGAGCTTTTTTTGCTTTGGACTTTAGCAGGAAATAATTTTTGTTTGCCATTTTTTTAATTGAAAATTAAGTTTTAGTTTGACCGTGATAAATCAGTTTGGTACGCCTGTCCTGAACAAAACCTAGAGACTAGGGATCTTTCCCCTCGATTTAAAACAACGTCCATCATCCCTCAAAAACCTCTCAATTTAAAACGAAATGTATACAAAAAAGCAATAGTACCTAATGGGTTGAGTCGGATCGAGTATTCGTTTCGCTCTTTCCTCTTGACTCAGGTATTCCCATTTGAAGACGAGATTCCAGTCAAAACCCCCCCGGAGATCCGAAGAGGCGCCGATGTAGTGAAAAGTGTCCATACTGATCACGTCGATGATCGGACAGACCACTCTAGTTTTATCCTGGAAAAAAAGCCGTCACATAACATCAATCACTCTTTTGCCAATTTCCCACCTCACCTCTGCGATCCTTTCCAGCAGCGGCTCCAGCCAATTCTTGTTGCATTCGACATGGCTGTCCAAAAACGTGAGGACCGGGGCAGAGGCTGCATCGGCCCCTTTCACCCGTGACCTCATAAGGCCTGAAACATCGTTAAAAAAATCTTCATTGAATAAAGATTCACCTCACTAAAATATGTCCGAATCGTAGACACCAATATATGTTATTTATTTTCAAACTTTCAAACCGTTCTAGTTTATTTAACATTTTGCTCACAGAGTTTCTACAGAGAATGAAATATCACCTTGAAACACGTGGGAAAAAAATTAAATGTCGATTACACCAACCCTTCACTTAAAATTTACGTTAACAACTTTCAGGACCACCGTTCCAAGGTCTCTGTTACGCGGGCCCGAGGAGAAAGTTAACAATGTAAATTCAGAGGGGGCGGAACAAAGGGGTTAAAAAGTGAAGATTAGGTAGTACAAGGAAGGTCAAGGTAGCGAAAAGGTTCACGTAAGTTCAAGGATTGACGAAGAATCCGTGAAGGATCAGAAATTCTTGTACGGTCTGAAACCAACGTCTGACTTTCTCCAACCGAAAAACGTCATCTATCCCTTGGACCGCGGCTGGTTTACTATCATGTTAATTTACATCCTTTGGTAGTTTGCAATCGTTAATTTGATATGCAATAGGATAAATCTGATATCGTTAACTTCCCCTGAATTTACAATCGGCACAAAAATGAAGGTCACATTTCTCGCCTAGTCTCGCTGTTCTGGCGAGGATGGTTTTCAGGCGCGAGGCATCATTAAGACATGTCTACGTGTATTTTCATATTCGTGTCTTCAATTTAAAATTGAAAGAAAAACCACTGAACAAATACTGACACGCACCCAGTGTTGAACAAAAATTTATATTTATGGGTTTCTGGTTGTAAAACGAAATTTCATGTTTCAAAAAAAATAAAATAAAATAAAATAAAAAAATAAAAGAAAGGTATGAACTAGTTTACTTTAAAAAAATATTTGGTTTTTAGAAATTTTTTGGTTATTGATAAACTTTGATAGTTTTAACTATATATTTTTATTGCAATCTACATAAAAAATACTGTAAAATGATATATTCACATAGATGATTAGAGTAAGTAGAAAGGCGAAATAAAAATATTAAAAAACGGATTTTTTTTGGCGAAACCAGCAATGTGCCCGATATTTATGTTGGCAGGAAGGGGAGGAGACTGCACAACACATTTTATATTTTTGTGAATGTCCTGGTACGTGCAGATTCTTGTAACTAGGAGAGAAAAGACGCAAGCAATATCATACACTAAGGAGCTGCTGGCAAGGCTATGGAGGTCGATTAATAACTGAAGCCGGCCAATGAGGCATAAAAAACCAAAGGACAATAGATCTACTCAGGTCGAGGTGCAGGGCTGTGGTCGCCTCTTTTACCCCTATCCTCAAAATGACTTTTTGTGTAAACATATAATGTTAAAAAAAAAGCAAAAAAAAAGCAAAGCAGTGAATATGCAGACTATTGAAAATGGGTAGTCACCGAAACGAAACTGACAGATAAAAAAAAAAGCGAGACAGATAAAATCATGAGAGATGATCGCATAATATTGTAAAGCATTAAAGAAAAATTATAAATTTAACACTGGATGAGATTCACATTTTCCATTACTTTAAAATATTGTATAATAAAAACACCAAGCTTAATTTTTAAATGAGACTCATGGTTGATCAAAACGTCGTTTTAAACGTTTATCACAAAACCGTCAGGGCGCTAACAACCCCCATCCCGACGAGAAATGTGCAAATCTGTTTAAATCACTTGATTACGTTTGTAGAACTTCCTATGAAAAACGAACTTTCAAACTCGGAAAAGTGAGTGGCGAAGTATCGACAATCCTTTAAGGGAGCATAAATAGAAAGATGTTATTTGCCTTCTTCCTGCTGCCGGTCGCGGCCTTTTCCCCGTGTATTTTCCAAAAAGCTCTTTACATTTCCCAAAGGCGGGGGGCCCCCTAAGTGAAATCGATGGAAACAGACCGTTTTCACCTTGGGCTTTTACGCGTCACCATTTATGCAAAATTTAAACGGATTCATTAGAAATGCACCATGCCTGAACATCTCAGCTTTCCAACGTATTATAAGGGACCAGCAGTTTCCTGTAATTACAATTAATCCATATTTGCTTAGTGGTCATAATTGACCAGTTTAATTATTACAATTAATTATTCTTTTTATCTAAGGTTTTTTGTTCGAAGGTCGTGGGTTCGAATCCAGCTCGTGACAATTTTTCATCTCAGCCAAAAACCTTAGATAAAATAATTAACTGGTATAATTACAATGTTGAGGCTACCAGCCTCCCTACAACTGGAGTTCTTTATAAATAATTTATCTTAATTTTTTTACCGTTAGCACGAAGTTATGAAATATTGACATTTTATTTAATTGGTTCCTAGTTTCCTCAAAATCATAAAGTTTAATTAATTTAAGGGGAATGGGTTAGAATCAAGGAGTCCATCTTCTTTGATAACTAGAATGTGTAATACAGCAATTTGAAAAGTGGGTCTCGCCCTTTTTTTTGTCCACACCCGACGGGTATTGGGCGTGAAGCCCTCCTTACTTTACTTAATTCAAATTAGTACTCTTTAAGTTGGTTTGATGGATGAAGTGACAACCCGTTTTCAGAATGCTTTTCGCAAGTTAAACAGACCGATGTTTTTAAAATAAATATTTAATTTGGACGGTTTCCTAAATGGCCCATTTAAGAAGAAGGTTTTGAGTGAGGACTTCGTCGATCCCATTATCGTTAGGAAACCCTGTTGTGATAACGAGAACACGACGCTTTCACGAGGCTGAAAATTGTCAAATAATCGTTTTGCTCATCCGATAGAATATTGTATCCATAATTTATTACTCATACGATTATATTGGAGATAATAATATATTACATATAGGTTTCTTGAAGCAGTTTATAGACTCGACCTCTCATCTCCGACCGTTTTCAGACATAAGGAACAGAACTGAAAGCGGATTTTACGATCACTCAAAACGGCTGATATCTTTCCGTTTATTGTGCGATTTGACGTCATAAATAGGTTGGAAATGAATGCTTTTATTTTCCATTATTGTCCACCCGGGGGATGTAAGCGATTTCACGTCGCATGATGGATTGCCAACCATTTTTCACTTTTTGAAGAGAGGCGGAGGTAAAGGGGCGGCGATTGGATGGAAATTTTCAGCGTTAATACTTTTCTTAAAATTTAAAATTTGCCAATTATTCTCATATTTAAACATCATCATCTAATCATTAAGTTTATTTTCCGTGAAGACGACGTGTATATATAATATATAAAGTGAAAATCATTCAGGACGTTTTTCAGTATTGTATAAATGAGAGAAAGTTAAAATAACATAAACCAGAAAAAAAGTACAAAATAGAAGTTGACAAACACAAATAAATAAATAAATAAATAAATAAAATACAAATGAAAAATAACAGGAAGACAGGGTAAATTTTGAATTCACATTTATGGCAAATTTTTTAACTCACCTTCTCTTTTGTCATTCCTGATCACCTTGACCTTTAGGATTTTAGCCAACTCTTCTCCGTCGAGTGCTGAAATAAAGTTTTATTCATAATAATAACACAAATCTTAAACAATAAACAAATAAAGGTAACTGTAAATTGAATTATGTTAGAACAATTTCCTAATACGTCTCTGACAAGTTTAACATGGTTAGGATAACTTTAACATATCATTATCGCCATGTTCGATAAACAACCGAAAAGCACCAATTTATGTATAACACATAGAATGAAGCCGTACTTCCGATTAAAATGTAATAGTCAGGAGTAATCAGAGTACGAGTGGAGCATACATTGTACAAATTGGATTATGCTTACGATTGTCGCTGAAGTCGTCTACTAGAATTATTTCCTTGATTAAGTGCTCCGGGCTACGATTCAAAACGCTGAAAAATAAAACAAAATCAATATATTAACTAGAATTTTAATTTTAATAATAAATAAATTGTCTTGATTGTGTCTGGATATATGACCAATTTTTGTTTTTATAAGGGCTTAAATTTGATCTTTTAAACGTAGTATGAAAAATCTATGTGCTGACTTCTAGTTTACCAGAACAAGACTACTGCTATTCATATTAAAACTTAAGATACTGATAACACTCCTCAGTTTTGTTGTTATTTCGTAACGTGGATTGAACAAATCCAAGTTTTCCAATAATTTCAGTTTAAACTTTAGTTTATACAACATAAACTATTTACAATAGCTAAGTATATAAATGATTTTTTTAGAAAACTAAATTACACAAGTTTTCGATTAGAAAATAAACGTTACAACGTTTTATAAAAGCTAGAGTTTTACAGTTGACGACGATCGTTTTATCTTGACAGTTGTTCATCGACAATGCGATGGACGTTAAAATGCTGCAGAACAGAGCGAAAAAATACTGTTTTGTTTTACATGATATTGGGCGATACTGGGAACCTGCTGTAAAGAGGGCTGACGACATTCAGTTTACATTCGGTCCACAGTTTATCAAACTATTACGATATTAAGTCGGCTACCCGTTGAAGACAAAAGTAAAAAGTAAAACCAAACTGTTGGCTGTCGGTTATGATATGGTCCGATTTGATTAGTATTGGGAATTTAATGACATCCCGTATCTTAACTGAAATAATGCTACATAACTAAAATAAATATATCATACGACTAAAGTAATAACATAATGAACTTTTATACCATGTTGTGAAAGTGAGAGATAGATAAATAGATAGGTAGAAAGATAAATAGATATACAGATAGATGGATAGATAGATACAGAAAGAGACAGAGAGAAATATAGACGTCAGATCATCGACAGTAGATGGGGAGAAAGAGAAAGAGAGAGAGAGAGAAAGAGAGAGAGAGAGAGAGAGAGAGAGAGAGAGAGAGAGAGAGAGAGAGAGAGAAATATAGACGTCAGATCATCGATAGTAGATGTAGAGAAAGAAAGAGAGAAATATAGACGTCAGATCATCGATAGTAGATGGAGAGAGAGAGAAAGAGAAAGAGAGAGAGAGAGAGTGGGTGGAGAGGGAGGGAGGGAGAGAGAGAGAGAGAGAGAGAGAGAGAGAGAGAGAGAGAGAGACATCATGGAGAAATAGGGGGAAAGATAGGGAAAGAGCTAGAACTTTGAAACTGCAACAAATACATTTACAAAATAACGTTTTCTCAACAATTACCATATCATTGGTTGCAGACATCCGCTGCTTGGTGAATGTACGCTCTAAAGGTCAGAGTAAAGTCATATACCGTATAAATCATTTGTCCAAATCCATCAACTAAAAACCGGAGTATGATAAAGACAAACTGCCGGCACTCCATTTTACAGAAGCCGACGGCGTTTTCGGAACAAGCCATTTAAAATGGGCCATTACTTTTCATCAACTATGCAGATTGTAGCGGGCAGACGTTTGATTAAGTGCAAAAAATAGTTGGGCTTATTTTTTTAATATTTTAAACAGCAAACAGGATAACAAATTGGTGTCAATTTATAACAGCATGTGCTCGCTTGAAGAATAATATCTATATTATTTTCTACATAATAATAATAAACTTTATTTGCAAAGATGTACAACAAAAGATCAATTTCTGTACAAGAATTAAGAAAAGAAGCGTAAGAAAAATATAAATCTTTCATTTATTTATGGTTAAATGAATGTTATTCAGGCAAACGCTAATAACAAATAAGGATGGCAAACGTAACTTTCTCATAAAAATCATTTGAATGTTACCAAAAAACTAATCCTGAACACAGTCAAAATCCTAACAAAAGAGAACTATTTTCACCAGAAAAAAGGAAGAGACCCGTTTTTCGTGAGTTTCTTTTGGAGGAAATGATCAATAAGTGGCGAACATGGGGAAAACGGTAACGATCAAACTGTATCAATTAAGATGATAAACAACAAGTAGACCCCAAGCGTAATTGCACTTTTATACGTTACTTCTACCATCATTCCAATAAAATGGTCCGACTTACTTACAAAGAAGAATAATAATTCAGGAGAATAGGATGGCTCCAAACAAACGAAGAAACCGTACCATTTTTGTACAAGCCCAAAACATACAAGCAATCAAACTCATAGGGGAAGAACATCTAGCAGAAATACAAACCATCGATCTCGGTCTTGTCCGACTAGCCACCATGGTTCTGCTATTGACCCTCTCACACTACACATTCACACTAACAATTACATTCACTCCCAATGCAAACAAGGAAAACAAAACTATCGGTACTATTATTGTACTACAAACACAAAACAACCCTGTTTCCTCCAAGAATTGGAAGAGGAGACACTGCTGTGCTCAAGCACAGTATTCATATCGGGTTGGGCATTCCTACGCGCTATCTATATGGTTAGGGAAAAAAGTAATTCCCGTTCAATTAAGTGAGATATTGACACATTGAATAACCTTTCTTTGCATGCCGTGCCCGTATCAAGCCCCAAATGTATGTGTCTGTGGGTCAACCCTACACTGCCTATTCTTAATCGTGTAAGGATGACCCTTCTATGAGTCACGTCGTCGGGGGTCACGAGAGTAATATATTTGTAGTCTGTTCAGCAAATATTCGCTGTATTGATCTGTGACACATTCTGGTTTAGCTTCTGTCCCTTAAGGCGGGTCCAGACGGGTGTAACGTGTAATGTGGATTATGTGTAATTTAGAGTGAACAGTGTGGACGGCAAACGAACTCAACGCGAATCTTGAAGAGGGGGCTGTTCCACTCAGTTGCTACGAACATGGTATAAACCAATAAGTTCAAGCGACTGTTCGTCTCACTCCACATCATGAACGTCCACACTACACAACTGCCACGAACGCCGTCCAAACGAGAACTGCGAGCGCCTTTGTGTTCGCACAAAAAACCGACACCCCGATGGATCCGGTCGAACGGTTGGGCGAGCGTTACATGTAATGCTCGTAGTAGCGTCCACACAAAGAATTCGCCTTGCATTACGCGTTACGTTACGTGTTACATTACACTCGTCTGGACCCGGCTTTAGAGACTTCCTTTCCTCACTTATATCCTTGATGCCAGTCATTAAAAATGGAAAAGAGCCAGAACTTTTTTAGACAGAACAAAACAGCGAAGAGAGGTCGAACCAAGATGATAGGAAATGAGCAAACTACAGGCGAAGACATGAAGACCCAAGTAATACATTTGCACACAACCATATTCAACAAAATCATACACCCATTCTTAAGAACGGGAATTGACTACATGATCCCGGAAACACACCTAGGGGAAACACAATAACCTGATGATAACTTGGGTACCAGGATGCAAGGGAATTTTAGGTAACGAAAAGGCAGGCTCACTGGCCAGAGAGGATCTGCAACACCATACTTAGGCCCTAACCTATCCTTGGGATAACAAAAACAAACAGAGTCCTCCGTCACAGAATGGATCCAAAAAAGGCGAAGTAGATAAACTCTAGAGGTGGTTGACACAGAATAAGCAATCCTCAACCAAGAGTGCCAAACTTAGTGCCCTCAACAGTTAGTGAGGGCAAAACTAAGAGTGATAGGATATTTATCCGCCACTGTCATCTGAGAAAACAATGATTTCGCAGGTTGTACAATAAGCAGGAAGAAACAACCCATATTATCTTTGAAAGCGAACCGCTCAATGGAGGCATAACTGGGATACAAAACCTTTGGATTTTCCGGTAAAGGATTGTAGCAACACAGGCAATGACGTAGTATTTCTTAAGAAACGGATCGAGTAGATTGACTGAACTAAGGGGCTAAGAAAGTACAATAAGCCCGAAGGCTGTGCAGTAACAAAAACTTCCACTTCCTAGTCTCCTTCCGTCATCATCATCACTGTAACAAATTATTAATAACAACAACTATAATGGTAACAACAATAACTATAATGGTTATAAGATCGCTAAAAATACATAATTGACCTTCTTATCTATTACAGATACACATAATAATCAATCGTTTTATAACAATAATATATGGTAAAAAAATAAGATCAAAGGGAAGCTTAGATGGTCATACTATCATTTCTAGGGATTGAAAAATTTAATTAATACATTACAATTTTTAATTAAGGTTTTTAGTTGAGATAAAAAAGTCAGCGTCACGAGCGGGATTCGAACACACGATCTTCGGCTAGATACGCCGCTGCTCTACAACTTGAGCTGTCGTGATCTCGATCCACTCGGACACTAACTTCCCATCTCAACCGCACCTTTTGAATTTGAATTCCGAACGGATCGAGGTCACGAAAGCTCAAGTGGTAGAGCAGCGGCGTATCTAGCCGAAGATCGTGTGTTCGAATCCCGCTCGTGACGCTGACTTTTTTTTATCTCAATTAAAAACCTAAATTAATTGAAAGATATTAATTGGTCAAGCGGACCACGAAAACTAGTGGAATTCCAATTATTATTTGTATTGAATATGAAGGTGTTATAGCCAAGATGATTTGTAATCTAAGCTCTGCAGTAACATTATTTTCTTCTGATGGACCAGACTTTCATCCCAATTTTTACATTAATATTCTGTTCTTTGGACGTAAACTTTACCCAAAAAGAGCGTTCACGCTGGACAACATTGACTTTGCCGAAGCGAAATGTTCTAGTAGATATAGACGTTCAGTTAATTTTGATCACAGTGTAAACCCGTTCAGATAATATTTTCGATCTTCTGAATATTAGATTTCATATCAAAACTTTACCCTATACGTACGATAACAAACATTGAGTTGAATATTACAAAAACAATGCGTCAAGTTACCTTTGGAAAATTGGTCGGGAATACTCCTACTTCTCAAATTCTATTCTAATTTCGACATTTCCCCACTGAGAAGAGCCGTGTTTTCCAGATCCACCTAACACAATAAACAACTTTAAATTAGGTCAGGTAAGTATTTGAACTATCCCTTCCAAGAACT